CAGCACACCAGTCCACCTACAATTTCATTAAAAAAAAATACATTGACGTGATAGAACATTAAGTGGGATTCTTAATGCGTCATTGAGACAGCTCAACTCTTCTCAGCTCATCAGTGCATCACTAATATTACTCATTCTATGCGGAAGATAAAGAATATGACTAAGTATAATTTATTTGTTTATCTCCATGTTGCTGCACTGTTTGTGTTCATTCTGTTGCTTAACGGGTTAACGCATCGCATAAGCGGTTCGGATAATGGTTACACGGAACATTGATGCCAAGAAGCATTTGCCTTAAGCTAGTGGACTGAAATGCTTGTTTATTTTATGTTTACTTTGACAGTTAACTACAAATGGGGGGTGGCATATACAACAACAGTTTGAAGGCCTCTTTTTTGGAGCAATTGCTTACTACTTGCCAAAGCGCTGCTTTAGATAAGAGATAAGAAAACCTTTATTCGTCTCACAATGGAGAAATTCCTAATTCACAGCAGCAAAGTGATGAAATGAAGAAGTAGAAGAACAAAATATAAGAGCTGCTGGAAAGGCAGCCACTCTCGCGGCACCAGCTTGAAATCAAAATAACAAAATAATACAACACAACACATAAGACACAGACAGTCGTGCAATCTTAACCACTTTTCTGCATCCTCTTTGTTGTATGAAGCAGTTATAGATGAAAGAGGAGAGGATCAAAGTGCCTTTTCACCAGTGGATCAGGGACGTCATGCTGAAAATTATTGTAAAGCATTTCGAGTCCACTGCCACATACACCACACTCAAATAAAAACAAAAAATACACATTAAAAGTGAGGATAAGCAGTTTGGAGAATGAATGAAAGAAAAATGGGTCGAATGACGGCACTTATTTCAAAAAACACTCAAGTAGACTCACTCTTATCTCAAGGCACCACTGTACTGGATTTGATCATTTTTGTCAATATGCTCTGCCCACAAAAGCTTTTTTTTTGGGGGGGGGGAATAATGTTACTAATCTCTATTGTCTTATATATTCACAGTATAATGATTTCGCTTTAGAAATTTGAAACAGCCGAGGCTTTGAAGGAAATGCTACATTCAAAGCCAATAAAGACTACAAAACAAAAAAGAATTAGCCTATACAGAAATACTGTTTTTCACATGATATAAGACACATTTAAAGCTGATTAGACCAGGTAAACTTTGAAATCTTTTGCCATAAATGCTGTGTTAGCTTGTGCATGTGTCCTTGATTATTATGAGTGCCTATACGACACACAGTCCAAAAACTGCCATGCAAAATAGCAGAACACTGTGAGAGCACAATGGGGACAGAGCCCCAAGGGGGCCGGTGCATCCACAGAGAGAAAAAAGGTCATCTGAGACGAACATCTGACTTTAAAAGCCAGAGGACCTAGAGGTGCACCCTAGGGTGCTTCATGCACAACTGTGCTCCAAAACTGTCCCAAAAGAGATACGCTGACTGAAACAAACTTCTAAGAGGCTTTATTGTAGACCAAAATCTGCTATTGGAAAAGATAAAAACCTCAATCATCACAAAGACTGCAGGTCAGTTGCAAATGTCCTTACCTGGATTTGGAGTTTTCTTCATGCTGCCTGTGTTCTCTTGTGCACGTGTGAAGCAGAGGGATAAATCTTGCTCACTTTCCCGTGTAATTGGAGTGCGACTCCGTGCGGCACACTGGGCAGGATGCGTGGCGTGATTGGCTGCGTAGTGAGGATGCTGAGATGCAAGACATCACGCGCCTTTAAAAGGGAGGGGGTGGGTGGGGAATCCCCCCCCATGACGTACACATAGGAGGTGTTAGAGGAGGGCTTTTGTTTTGAAAAGCTGCAGTAGACTGCAGTGATAATTATTTGGTGACCTGATCGTACAGTATGCTCATTAATTTGTTTGTTATTTGAGGGAAGGAATTTCATCTGTGCTGTATGTTACAGCACATTTGACAATAAAGGTGTATTCAATTCAATTCAATATACGAATACATCTCTGATTTGAGATACAAGTTCATTTCATCATAACTGAAAGCATTTGTATCAAAAATAATCTTTTCTCATTGACATGTTCACTGAGATTCCTCAAGTCATCAGTATATTTATAATAATAATAATAATAATAATAATAATAATAATAATAATAGTTGTTCTTTGCAGAGGATAAAGAACAAATGCCTGACTGCGATATTTTCTGTCTACATGTTTTACTGCACCGTGTGCTTAATCCGTTCCTGATGCGGTTCAACGCTGAAACATAATGCGATTTAGCATTAGCATTAAGCTAGCAGACTGAAAGGCTAAGATATACATATCCACTTTTGTTTAGGTTAAAGGAAACTTCAAAAAAACGTTTTATGAAAAAATGTTCACTCTTTGCCAAACTTCTACTTTTTGTGAAGTGTTGTATTCACTGCCGCTTCACAGTAATCGTATGTCAAGTCTGCATTTACAAGGCAAACCAAATAATTAATTTTATTTCTTTAAATTCGACTTTTTCAAGACATGCACTGGGTCGAGTCACTTGTATATTTGTTGTTGTATGACTTATTTTAATTCCATGTACGTACAGCACTTTGTTTTAAAGTGCTCGAAACACACAGCTGAGTTGAGTTTAGCACCTCAAGGCACCACTTAAACTTAATCTAAGGGGTGACTGTCCACCCATCAAGTTTGAAATTAACAATCAAGTATTTTTTTTTCCCTTATCTGCCTCTTTCTGAAATATGTGCCAGTGAGCGAGTCATTCTCTTGAGAAGCATATCATTGCCACGCTAAAAACAAAAGGGCTCAGTATCATGCAATTGCATGAAAAGTTTATTGTTATACTCGATTTCTTTTTCACGTCATTTGAACTGAGGCAGCAAGTGGAAAAAATATGGCATCATATCACACTTCGAAATTTATTTTGAAATCAGCTTTTGAAGTCTATTCTGGAAAAGAGGGCGGAAGAAACTAATCAAACAGGAGGGGAGTTTTATGCGGGAATCCGAGTTGAATATAAATTTGTCATGTGGGCTTTTGGTGTTGAAATAACGGCTTCGTTCTCTCACTTCGAACACGAACCATTTTTTTTTTATTTTATTTAAGATGACGTAACTTTCACTCAATCCTAATGGATGACTGAACAAGACACGAATAAACTTGGATTCTTATCCAGTATGCGACGACCGACGACACCGGAAACATTTTGTGAAGCAGGTTCGTGTTTTTGTCGGACACGTTTCACCCCCAAGCCCGTTTGACGTCCTTTTGCTGCACAATACTACTCCCTGCTGGCCCATCGAGACGTGACAAGTTTTTTTACCTTACACTTAGCAGCGTTCGTGGCGTTGGACAGCCAAAAGAGCAAGGATTCGAAATTCTTGAGGTAAAAAAAATTAAAATACTGTGGCAAGTATTTTCAGTCCAATCATTGGCTCTTGCCATCTAAATAAATATAAAAACAGAATTAACCACACCTTGATTTCATTAAGATTCACCTTCATCACAGTTGAGAACACACGTCAATGGTGTGGCCGCGAGGAAGAGAAAGTGAACTCATAATTAACAAGAGCACTTCAGTACTGAGTACGTTTCATTTGTGCGCATGCGCAGGTCAATACTCTGTCTTGTGGAGGAAAATACTGTTTTTAGCATTTAAACTTCGTTTTATTAATACGTTCGAAAGACATATCCCAGTCAAAAATATTTACTCCACATTGGCAGTTCCACGCATCCTGTCACATGTGGTGGTGTAAGATGACTTTGACAATACGTAAATCATTACTACTGTAAATTGTGTTAATCGGAACAGACTACAACTGGGCAATAATACATCGACTTTGCGTACGTAGGTCACTTCACTTAAAATTTTAGAAACCCACTAAACTGATTTACATTGCAGTTTGCCTTTAACGTCATAAATTGTACAGTCGGCAGGTTTTGTTTAAATTACATTTTACAGTACTGTACACTACTTCATTTTGTTGAGCTGCCTTTCGTTTTCAATGTCACATGATGTTGTGGTAATTGTACACCAGATGGCAGTCTCGAGTTGCTGGATTAAAAAAATAAAAGACCCAAATCCCAGATTATCAACTAGTTCGATGTTAATCATTGATGTGATATGACATGAACATTTTAATACACACAATAATCACAGAGTGTTTTTTAAAAAATGGTTAGTCTTAACATTTTCATTCGATGCATGCATTATTTTCCCACTAAAGAACAGAAAACATACACATTTTGCATTTATTATAAAATGTGCATTGACTTGTGCATATGAAATCAACTAAAAAAAAACCAGAGGAACAAATAAACATTATGTGAAAAAAAATAGGTGAAAAAAAAACAAAATCAAATACCATACAAATAAAACGATACAGGGAAACTCCGGTGTTATATGTGACTTTAATGATTAACCATTTAGTCCTGGAGTTGAATTGTCTACTTTTGTACATGCTGAGTAAAAGCTGTTAATGTTTTCTATGATGACGTTTGTTTAGAGTGGCAAAAATGTGCGCGCGTGTACGCAGCGCGCGTGCGCGCACACACACACACACACGCACACACACACACACACACACACACACACACACAAGCACACAACAGATTTTTTTTCAATTTTCTTTTGTATTACAGTTTAATTTTTGACTTTTCATAGTTACTTAAAATTGCACTTTGCATGTGAAATTACAATGATTTTTCCTTTTAATATAACACCCACCCGTATTTCCAAATGTTTTTTCGTTTTGTTTGCAAATGGGTGCCATATGTTGGTGGTGCTTTTGTTGCGAGAATTAATAAAACACAAAAATACAATCAGGATCATGGAAATTCTTGACCCCTTGAGTGGTCTGGAATACAGACTGGACACTGAAATTTGCAGCTGTTTACTTTGCTTGCTTTCCAAATTGTGCTCCATATAAAATAGTCATAAAATGCCAAGCTTTGATTCCCAACAAAATGGTCGTAAATAAGGAATCAACAGTGTTTGAAGGGGCTTGCTTTTTCACCTGTATACCATCTGGTGTGACAGTAATCTAGAAAGTGAAAGGGAATTCAAATCACACATGCCTGAAAACACGTGCGCACACACACACATTTCATGCCTGCTACTGAACAACAAATAGTTGAACAAGGGTGCTACACCAGCTGCCTACGTGTCATGTATATTGATTCATAACAGTCAGTGAAAATGTTCCCCGTTTCCGGAGTTAGGTTGATAGTTTCTAATTTACTCATCAGCCAGAGTATGTTTGCTACTCTTTATATGTGTGGATAAATGATCATTCCACTGGCATTTGAGTCGCAGCTTGGAGTTGAAGCGGATTACGTGAGACAGGAGAAGTGAACTAATCTCTTTTTGTCAATGGACGCTACAGCTTCATGTTTGCTTTCAAAACTTAGCTTGTAGCAGACATGTGCACATTTTCAGCATGACGTCTCTGATCCACTGGTAAAAGGACACTTTGATCCTCTCCTCTTTCATCTATAACTGCTTCAGACAACAAAGTGTATGCAGGAAAGTGGTGAAGATTGCATCACTGTCTGTGTCCTATGTGTTGTGTTGTGTTATTTTTGTTATTTTGACTTCAAGATGGCACCGCGAGAGTGGTTGCCTTTCCAGCAGCTCCGATATTTTGTTCTTCTACTTCTTCCTTTTATAACTTTGCTGCTGTGATTTGGAATTTCTCCATTGCGAGACTAATAAAGGTTTTCTTATCTTATCTTATTTAAATTAAATAAGATTGATTAAATTCATCAACAAATGAGCATAGTGGTGAGTGTTTTAATTATGAAAAAGAGTGTATAACAGGATCAAGTGGACACCGCAAGTCTTAATGCTCAGAACGAATTTGCAACAGTAGGACTAAAAACATCATAGTTGGTCCGTGGCTATTTTTTTTTTCCAATGTGCTTGTCCACTGTCTTGGTATTTGTGTTTGGGTGACATTTGAAGCATCTAAACCAGGGTTGGTTGTTAAAAAAATAAAAATCACATTATGGAGCAGGTGAAAAAAAAAAAAAAATCGCTGATTATTTTTCAAAAGCATTCGCCTTACAATTTAGCTGTACAAGCCACAGATTGCTTACATCGCACCCTTTTTGTCTTTTACCCATCCAGCCGCAATTTGAAGGAGCTTACAATTCATTCAGTGATTTGAGAAGTCGCAGCGCAACGAAACAATCACTTTCACCCTGCCCAACTCATTGAGTGCAAACAGCCGTCGTGATTCGTGATTTCTGCTGGTAGGTCAGTGGAGACAAGCTACGCGGCATCTCCTAACAAAAAGAGATATATGCATGAAAAATGTCATCCTTGCCAAGCTAGTGATGATGTCGATGTTTATGTGTGATAAATACCTGACACGTTGGTCTCTTGGCATTCAGGGCTCCCCAGAAGTTGATGCTGTGGACTACCTTCACGGAGGAACATGAGGGACACGTTAGAATAAGCGAAACCGTTTTACTTAAAGCATTGAAATGATTAGGGCATCAGCAAAACTCAGATGAAGTCCGATCAACAATCCTGATCATTTGAATCCGATGTGAAAAAAAAAAATCTAAATTGCGCATGATAGTAGTCCTTGAGGACCAGAGTTTGCCCACCCTTGACTTCAAGAGTCACACCTGCACAGGCTCACCTTGCTCTGGATCTGTTCCAGGTTGAGGAGCCCAATCTTCTCCTGAAACAATAAGAAAATCATGATATTAAGAATATAACAACATTTTGAGATGTAAATTGGACTTAATGGAGAAAATACACATCCAGAATAAATGAATTACATCAAACCATAAACAGAAAATGGTCCTAACCCAGAATAAGACCTAACCCAGAGGATATAAAATGGGACTGAACTACTACCCAATCCAATACCTTCAAAAGTAAATTGGACAAACTGAAAAAAAATTACCGTAACTCAGGATGGATACTGGACAGGACAGAATACTCCCCAAGCCGAACATTGTTGGAGAAACTTCATCCTGGGAAAGTAAACTAGACTAACCCTGAATAGAACCTAAACTGGGGATGTAAACCAGATTTAACCAGAACACACAGTGGTTTTCCCTACTCTGGGATTGATAAAGTCATCTTCTTCTTACATTGATTCTTAACTAAGAGTACAACCAAAATATAGTGTCACATGATCCAAATCCTGGGATGAAACCTTGAAGGCGACTCCAAACCTTGGAGTGTCAACTGGACTAACTCAGAATATAAAATGAAACCGAACCCAAGATGGAAAGAATCACGCCAATTTAACCCCGTGGGTGTATTTGAGGTTCTTGTGGGCTGCTGCACTCGGGATTTCACTGTTAATAATTAAATGTGACACACCTAACCAAAGTTTGAAACGTGCTTGAACTCGTACGGAATGAGAGGGGGAAATCCTGTCCGTGATTACAACATGAGCTAACTTGCTAACCTCCTCCCGAAACTTTGTTCATGTGACTTTATTTTTGGGCTGAACTAGGAATCCCAATCAAGTCACCATAGCAATGTCGTAAAAGGCCATGTTTGAATCGCAAAGGCTGTAATTTTGAAGGAAAAAAAAAAGATCCACTTCGGTCGGCCGGTAGGATTGATTTATTTACTTTTGAAAAATATTTTGTTTCTTGTACAGTGCCTAGACAAGCTCAGTGCTTGAAAAGTGCAGTCCGTGTCGCCGACTGCCCGGAGACGGCTGGGATAGGCTCCAGCTCCCCCCGCGACCCTAGTGAGGATCAAGCGGTTCGGAAAATGAATGAATGAAAATGTTTCATTTAACGGCGGCACGGTGGACGACTGTTTAGCGCGTCGGCCTCACAGTGCAGAGGTGCGTGGGTTTTCTCCGGTTACTCCGGTTTCCTCCCACATTCCGAAAACACGCATGGCAGGTTAATGGAACACTTGAAATTGTCCCCGGGTGTGATTGTGAACGCAAATGGTTGTTCGTTTAGTGCACCCGAAGACATCCGGCCCGCTTGTAACCCGCGTGGGGAGAACCGGATTAGAAAATGGAAGTATGTTTCATTTAACGTGATCAAACCACACATTTTCTTACACTATTGTTGACTGATTGACGGACTTATCTTTACACCACTGTTCTTCAGACTGATATGATACTGTGTTTCTTAAAAAGAATAATACATGAGAGGAGGACATCATCATAATAAAATCTTAATCCCAATACTCAGTGGAAAAAAAATATACCGTAATTCTGTTTACTTTCTGGACAGTATACTTACTTTTACACCATTTCTTCCAGAACACCAGAAACAGCAGTCCAACAATCATCGAGCCGATGACTATCAACGGTGCCACGACTTTGGTAGCCAGATCAGTGTTTTTCGCTTTTGGATCTTGTCCCAGTCCTTGAGAGGTAAACAATGAATGACCGATTTAATGGTCTGTTGGATCACTTTAGGGCACACAATTACAGGAATAATTCCTTTGTCAAACAGAAACAAAAAAACAATTTTACTTTCTCTTTCTGCCCAGGAGGCTTCTTAACTGGTCCCACTTGGTAGAATAATGTTGAAATATGGAAGGGAGCCCCGGTTGCTACCTTGCTAGGTTTGCATATGCTCCATAAAAGGGAACATTTCTCAGTTTCAAAAACAAACTGCACACTACATGTATGTGAAAAATGCAAATCCCCCACCCCCCTATGACTTTTAGTCACGCAAATCCTATAATTAAATATGACTTGAGTCAAGTCATGTGATTCAAATCTCCATTTCAGGCTGGAGCTGATCCAAGCGAACTCTCCGCACCCACCGAATTTAGGTGAAAATCTGCGATATATCAAAACCATGACAAAACGTTTTGTATCGGTTTCCCCCTCCCGCACACTTAACATATTTAAAATTTTGCGCACTTTTTAAACCAAGTGTAATCATAAAAATAGCATCGAGAATACGAAACCTATTGTAGTTTCCGGGTGTGTGTGGCCCGGGTGGCGCTTGACCTTGGCAAGTCTGCGTGAGTGTCTGGGTGTGAGCTGTGGCTGACATCAGCATAAGTGTGCTCATTGTGTTTAAGTGCTTTTTTTTCCCCCCTCCAGGAGTTCAATAAACATTGAAAAGTGTATCTACAATTGTGGCTTTCCTTTCTATTCATTCAACTGGCATATTTCCCCCAACCGTACAGTGCAGGATGTTCCACAAAAATAAAATAAAAAGCATAAAGTTTGTGACCTTGTCATTTTGAAACTAATTGAGTAACATTAAAGGATCTTATCATACCTGATCTGGCATGTGGCCATGTTTTTTGTTTTCTTTTTGAGTAGAGTTCGATTCAAAGGTTAGAGATATCTGATGTGGAGATATGATGGGACAGCTCATCTACGTCAGATACAAAAGCAATCAAAACAAATGTAGCGAGTCATCACCATCCATCCAGGTGTGCGAAAACGGCAGTGGTAGCTTTCATCTCCCCTGGAGCCACACTTGTTGACAAGTTTTTGTGAGATCTAAGTCACGCTCACTGCAGTCATCCTACGCTGCAAATAGACGCGCTCAATTTTGGAGTAACCGCCAGTGCTGCAACTTGGCAAGATGGATCGTTGCAAATACAAACTTGATCAACTCGTAAATCAAGATGCTCGTTATGATGGCGAAGATTGAAAAACATTTTTTTTTTTTTTTTTGTGGTTGCTTTCCACAGTATCATGAAAAGTTCCGGGTTCATTTCGAGCAGTACTCGTTCCAACTTGTCTTTCACTAGCGCACAAAGTTTGTTCTGCGATGGAAGTAGCATGAAACACTATTTGTCTTCTCACGCTATTCTCTTAACACACCTAGTGGAAGCTGCTTCCTGTTTTGGCAGACGCAAAAAAAGCAGAAGAAAAAGGGAAAAGCTTGCTTGTCGCTGAACTGAGCTCTCGTGCAGATTTGCTGACGCCTTGAGTGACATCCGTGGCAGCGGGCCAAACAAAACGCATGCCTCTCTCTTCTTTGGTGAGTGAGGAAAAAACTTTGGAAATACGTGCCACACCACCAGATGCGAAGCACTCATCAGAAAAAAAAAAAAAAATCATAATCATAAAATTTGAAAGGCCAGATTGGATTTTGCATACCAACCTTTAACGTGGCCCGCATTGGGTATCGTCCCGGTGACCTCGTCGTCTTTGCCGCCACGGGCGTTGCGCACCACGCAGGTGTAATTGGAGGCGTCTCGCCCTGACGGCAGAGTCAACTCGGAGGACAGGCTGAACAGTCCGTTTGGCATCACCTCGGCCGCGGTTTCTACGTTTCCGACCAGCTGCCCGTTAGGCGCCTCAAACCAGCTCAGTTGGCCTTTGGGGTGGCCGCCTTGCGAGCGGCACGTCAGGGTGACTTGTGAGCTTGGGGTGGTGTTCGCTGCGGTGGTATGGATGCTGGGTTTGCCGTATTTGGCTGAGAGAGACGGCGAAAGGGATGATTAGACTCACACACAAGTTGCAGTTTCATGCAGTTTGGATTGGTAGGCATTATACTGGCTCCATTCCTGTTCATCCTCTACACCTCGGACTTTTTAGATCTGTATTTATATTGCACTTAATTGAACGGTGTACATCGAAACAGTAACATTCATTTTGTGAATGCAAAGACTTTGTTTTTCTTCTTTCTTCTTTCTACCCAATCTTGCTGCTTTAGATTGTAAATTTCCCCCATGTGGGACAAATAAAGGATATCTTACATCTTACATCTTACATTAATAGATTGTTTTGGCATTTCAAAGTTATTTTTTTTTAAATCGCTATTGATATTTATATGACGTTTGATTGATTGACTGATATATAAAATGTCGCGATTTAATTGTGATATAGCAAGAAATTAAATTTGAATTACCGTAAATAAATTGTTAATTCAAGAAAACTGTCACAAATTTAGGAGAGTAACTTTTTGAAAAAAAAAAGCCATTATTGTGTTAAAAATGCAACATTATTTTCAAAGTCGCTTGATGAGAAAATGTTGAAACAAAAAAATTATATTCTTTTTCAAATAAAACTCTGAATTTTGCGGTTTATCCCTTAATTTCAGGCACTTTTCCCTCAATTTTCCGGAGGAATTTTTATGAAAATTTTAAAATCCGGAGGACTTTCATCTCTGTTCAAAGAATATATTTCTATTTTTTTTTTTTTTTTTTTTTTAAGAAAAGCCTTCACAAATATAATCGGAAAGTCATTTTTTCCGCCAGACCAAAACATCCAAACAACACTTCAAATTACAGTGAAAAACGAGGCATGTGCAGAAACTGCTTGGCCGCGGGATTACACGATTCTCACCCGTGACACGAAGGCTGGTCGACTTATTATCTAAGCCGCTGTCAGTCATCACCATGCATGAGTAGTTGCCATGGTTTGCTACGGCGGTGTTAGCGATGAGCAGGGACACATTCAAGGACTTGTTGTTCCATGACGGCTCGGCGAACGAATAGCCCGCCATTGACCTCGGCTGATTATTGTGAACCTCCAGCAGAATCAAGCCGTCTTTCTTCCAAACAACCCTGGACACGGTTAGATCTTTCACCTCCTCGGATTTCCTGATCACACATTCCACCACAGACTGTTGACCATACTGCCCTGAGTTCTCCTTCTTACAGTCCACCTGAATGAAAGCTGTGGGAGAGTGGGGGCCGGGATCAAGACAGTCAAAAAGGGAAAATAAATAAGTTTAGCCTTAGCATGAGCAAAATTACTTGGATTGCTTCTATAAAGGGGAAATGACATGAGATTTCAGGTCCCTTCTGTTCTCTTACCGTCTGATGCATTTTGCAAACTGACGGACACCATCAGCAGCAGCAAAAAAATGAAACCAGCTGAGGCCATGGTCATTTACCTGCGAAATGGACACGGGAGAAGTTATTTTCCTTTTGTGATATCTGTGAACTGATGTCAACGGGCCGAAATGAAGGATTGCGCAATCCTCATTGGAACCATCAAACTTACTTAGTTATGTGTCGGTTACTGTACGTATTCAGAAGGGGCGGTACGGCCCCACTGAAAACATTTTTTTCCACCGACTCATGGATTGCTATTTACATATTTGATATTTAAATATCCTTCTGTGAAGAAAACAAACAAAAAGAAAGAGCTATTTCCGGCTTTGATTATTTTCTATTTTTGTTGTCTGTAAATTATTGAACCATTTCCCCTCATCCCTTAACCAAGACTGTCGAGAAATATGTTGTTGTTGTTGTTTTTAATCAACTCGGCAATTTCTTAAACTCAAATGAATTTTTCCTTCTAGCTGTTCTCAGCGTCTTTGTCTCCCTGATGGCGATCTACGTTTTCACTTTTCTTTTCTGCACACTCATTGTATTTACTCATTCCGTGAGGGATAGTTCCTGTCGCCTGTACAGGGAAATGAGCCATTTTATCAGAAGTGGACCGAAACCTAACCAACCCTCACATTTGTCCCCTTGAACTATTCCAAATACTACAAATGCAAATACACACACACACACACACACACACACACACACACACACACACACACACACACACGCACACGCACACGCACACGCACACGCACACGCACGCACAACAGATTTTTTTTTCTATTTTCTTTTTTATTACAGGTTAATTTTTGACTTTTCGTAGTTATTTAAAGTTGCACTTTGCATGTGAAATTACAATGATTTTTCCTTTTAATATAACACTCACCTGTATTTCCAAATGTTTTTTTGTTTTGTTTTCTTGCTTTTTTTTGGTGGGGGGGACCAAACTTGTTTTTTGTGGAAAATAAGGCAGTACATTCCTGCTTATTCAAGAATTTCGTTTTTTGTTTTTTGTTTTTTTTTTTAATTGCACATTTTTGTGGTTTATGTACTTACTTTATTTCCCTCAATCACGGGACTGAAATGAATGCTTTGACAGACTGATGTTCAAGGTTCATGCATGTGCAGGAAAGGCTCAGAAAGATAAAATTGGTCATTCATTGGTTGATTTATCAGCGTATCTTCTGAGCATACAAAAAAAAAGCAAAAGAGCTCATGTTAAATTCCCCGTTTCTCAACTTAGCTTGGCTAAGTTGTTTACTTTCCATCACTTTGCCCACAGTCTCCACATGAATAAAAAAATGTCTCAATAATATTAGCCACATGCTGAGAATACAGGAGACCCTCACACCCTTCCTTTGTTGTCATTAGCATGTCTCAGTCAGACCGATTTGTTGAATGTGATCCGTTTTTGTTTTGGTTTTCTTTTGTTTGTTTTCCCACAGTTCTGTTTCAATATAAACCCTGCAGGAAATAGCAGCGTCTGAGGAGAGCTCTCCAGACAGCACAGCTGTGGAGGAACACTGACACCCACACATCCTCTCAAGGGATGGAGTACTCATCTTGAAAAAAAAAATAAATGTGAGAAAAAAAATAACTGGCAAGGAGTAGCGGGGAGTCAGAGTCTTGATCCAACACAACGACCCTGACTGGGGTCTATATGGACATCGCATAAATTATACGGTTGGTCAACGTATGGTTTACTGTAATTGCAAATCTGATTGCCATCTGATTATTCCTCATGATCCAATTCACCGAATGGGCCATAATAAACCCAGATTACATTTATATCATTTGCTTTTTTCTTTTGAGAAGCCAATCGCAGTACACACATAATAAAAAACTATTCACACTAACAATCACATGTAGGAACAATTTAGAATGATCCATTGATCTGCCATGCATGTTTTTGGAATGTGGGAGGACACCGGAGTACCCACAGAAAACCCACGCAGGCAAAAACAATTATCAATAAATTATTATCATTATTTTTTTAAAGTGCACCAATGAAACAAATATGCAAAACCGATATTTCCTCCTCTCACGCTATATCTTATGTAGAGATGAGGCAAGGTTACCGCTGCAAAATATTTGCAGATTGGAAGCACACACCTCGGGTCAAAAGTTTCCAATGTGTGGCTAAATCACTGCAACCATGTCTTTGGCAATATTCCGCGTCACTGACTCTGTGGTTGCCTCTTGTCTTTAAATACAGAAAACAAAAGTGAAAATTATTCTGCTTGTGTTGTCTGACCCTGAGCAGGAACTAAAGTAGCTAATTACAAGACAATGGGCAAAGTCCATAAATTTATTGACCGCTAAATCGGCCTTTGTGCTTGTATGAATGAGCTACTCTCTGTTTGCGACCTTGTTGTTAGTTTTTGCAGTGCACGCCAGCGAGCGACCATGGATAAACCTTCCCAGCCTTTTTCTTGACAATTTATCCTCATTAGGGTCACTGATGAGTCACTGCTATCCTTGCAAACCCTTTGCAGCCAACTACAACCTGAATTCTGGAAAGCATGCTCAATTGGATTCAGGTCAGGGGACGGACGTAGCCATTACATAACGGGTCACCGTCAAGCTGCATAGTGAATGCGCTGTCCAATGAGTTTCAAAGATTTGACTGAATATGAGGAGATAAGATTGCATGAAACATTTCAGAATTCAATCTGCTGCTTTTGTCAACAGTCACCTCAAGATTAAATAAATACAAGGGGGCCAGTTCCGTCAGCAGCCAAAAAATGCCCACAACATGACACAACCACCACCATGATTTACTGATGAGTTGGGACAGTACAAACATTAACTATAAAATAGTAGCAACCAAACATTTAAGTCCAGTATACAAGTATTGTTGAATTTATGTTCATTCGGGATGTGCTGGAAAAAAATGCTTGCAATATTTGTTATAACTTTGTACTGATTTTTTATCAAAATGAAAAGACCAAATTGATGCAGCAACAAACATATAGCAGACACACCATTTCATGTATAGCCCCGAGCCCTTGACTTTGACTTATATGATTTACAGCCTTCCATGAAGCATGTTTTGGGAACGTAGGAGCACAGAACATGCAAACTCCACATGGCAAGACCAAAGACCGGATTCAAACCCCTAATTAAAGAACATTGAGGCAGATGTGCTAACCACCACAATGGACAAATATTTAATGAATTGAATTCAACGTGGTTAAAAGTCAATACTGCAATTCCCATGGGGTACAGTGCATGTTGATGTTTGAATGACATTCGTAATACTGTACTTGGTTGTTAGTTCGGGGAAAAAAAATCTCACCTCCTTACGGGAGTCCCCGGACCCCAAAAATTTGAGGACCCCTGGTATAATCATGACAATTCATCTTTATTATTATTTTTATGAGATTACAGTCTCACACATTGGAAGCGAAAGTGCTGCCACCAGGAAGCGCAGAGTGAGCATTTGTTTGACATTATCCAAACTACTACTGCCGGGGTTTTTTTTTCCTCTCCGTAAAGCGCACATGTGACAGGAACGATCAAACCGACATTAAAAGTGAACGTGTTTACTCACCTAAAGCATGTCGTTGGTGGTCGTCGGTGAGCGCTTGTGAAAGTGGACGTCAAGGCAGTGTGGGACGGACGACACTCTCCTCACCACCCCACAGCAGCGCCACACACTCAAGCTTTGTTTTTTTGTCAGAATGCCAAGACAAATTTCCCAACCTACTACTTTCACTTTCGGTCTGAGCGCACGAGCCACGTGGAAGGACAAAATGTACCCATATCAAAAGTACTCCATGAGTAAAAATTGATTGATTAGAAGACAATTGACGCCATTTGAGGGTAACCTCCTCCAAATTATTGAAAAAAAGTGCAGATGTAGCTTTTTACACGAAAACTTGCGGTTGCCCCCCAAAAAAGCTGAACTCTCGCGCATCTCTCTCTCGCATGAATCTGAATGTCAGGCTCAGATTGATTTGAAAAGGTAGTTTAAATGTTTGCAAAATGTGAACTGAATCATGTAAACTATTCGAATCATTCTTTTTATTCTATACAATTCATTTACAACCGACAAATTTAATACATGAAAAATGTTAACTGCTTGCAAAATTGTTCATTTTATCAAGGTTTATTAATTTTTTTCACAATTAAAAAAAATACCAATTACACTGGTCAACAGCATAATTTAATCAGAGATGGCTTTATGTGTCACGAAATGTGTTTTTGATGCCGATTTAAAAAAAATGCCTTCACTTTTTTTCTCGACCCTTACATTTTTTTATATTTTCATTTTTTTGTGTTTCCAATTTGGCCGATGAAGAAAACAAAAGTGGGGCGGATTAAAAATCAGTACAAAAAATTCTGACAGAAAAGTTAACTTGCATCTATGACTACAAAAACATTTAAATTTGTGGACCGGCATTATTAAATGGGGTACAGGAATTACAAAAAAAAAAAACATTTTGGGAAAATAAAACTTGCAGAATTAACATGATATGGTAGAACTCTTCGAAATGAATCATGTAACTAAAAACAGTGTTGGACTTGTATCCGCCTCCAGAAAGCACAGCTGTGAGGCCTGCTGGGGAGCAGTGTTAGAGCATATGGTGAGAAAACGTGATACAGTATTATATGAAATATGCAACCTTTTTTTGAAAGGAATTACCGGTAATTTTGTTTCCTGCAAGTGAATGAAGACAAGCAGCCATGGTCTGAATTGATATTTAATGTCAATTATCCTCTTGTGCCATTTCTTCAATTCAAATTGTCTGCAAGCGACTTTAACATCCAGCATGAGGACAAAAAAGTAACAAAAAAAAAAGTACAGGATGCCACATGAGTAGTTGTAATGACAGTAGGATGTCACACAAAATTCTGGCTGTTCGGAGTCTCTTTTGCCCATAAAAGGAGTGAGATAATGCACATCTAGAGAAGAAACAAAGGCTGAGCTGTGTCATAAGGTCACTTGTCAAATGTAGGACGGGTTGTTTAACATTAGGCCCAACAACATTCTGCTGGCTTGCAATGTAACGCAAGGACACGGCTGTTGCTGCTTTACAGGCGAGCAGACAATCCAACTTTGACTGAGTTTTGAAACGTAAAAGAGGCACACTCCGCTTCAGAGTGTGACTACGAGCGGTAAAACATCGAGGGGTGAGCCACTACAATACAAAAAGTCGGGATTTGGAATACTGGCGAACAGTGATGTCCTTGTGGGTTTTTTTTTTTGTAAGTACCATAACCAGTAAAAAGGTTCAAATTTCCATGCAGTCACAATACAATGTTTCAATCACAGAATAGATTAAAAAAAGACTTCACAGAGAGAGTTTTTCATCAACTGTGATTCTGATTCAGGATCAAACAGGCACGCGGGGATGGTTCAAATTAGAAAATAAACTCTCAAGTGAAAGCTCTCTGTTGATGTTTGTATCGTCGCCTGCATTTTGTGCCGTGTCATTAGAAAGAAACGTGGGGTGAAGTTACCGTACGGTGACGAGTTCCTTTGCGGCCTCGGCGGGGTGAAGATAAGGACCAAACGGCTGACTTTGAAAGACATAAAGTGCTTCTGTCAAAATAAATAACAGTACAAAAATGGTTTCGACAAGGAGGTATCAAAACAATGCACTTGAAATGTGGAGGAGGACTGGCACGAGAGAGACATCAGAGAGGAGGTCCGAGGTACAGTTACAAGGTAGGTGAGGGTGGGTGGGGGTCCCCACATTGAGATGTGAGGAGGAAAAGACAAAGCAGGGTGGTGGTCTCGCTTGGCACCGATTTAACCCAGTATGAGGCTGGACTTTCCTCCGGGGGGATTCCTCCGTCCGGAGGGTGGTCCAGTTGCCGGGTCCTCAGCTGCTGGGGGGTCGTCTTGACGCTCGGGAGCAGCTGCCGACTCAGCAGGGTCACCGCCTGGGGACACACACACACACACACACACGCATTGCAATTAAGATTATTTTTCAAAACCGTTCAGCCTTCGTCAGTTTTATTGTTACCAGGCAGAAACATGACAATGTGTATGCAACAGGTAAAGACAGTTTTGTTTTTATGATGAAGCAACAGGGTCAAAAAATATCTCACCTTGGTCACATGCAGGCGTGTCTCCATCCTAGAAGGAAGAAGGACATTCTGTCATCAAAGAGCAGAATGGAAATTCTTCCTTGAACTACAGATTGTCAGAAGGCTAATAGTATCTTCTGTGTCATCAATGACTGCTCCATTTGGGAATGGTTTCTTCTTTTGGCTAAAAAAGGGGAGCTCACTCTTCAGTGTGTTTCAATAGAATCACCATGCGAATGGAAACAAATTTATTTTTGCAATGTGACATGAATGACCTAACCCAGCCGCTGGTAACAGGGGGGGGCACTGTTCCCCAGTGCCAGTCCCAAGCCCGGAGAAATGGGGAGGGTTGCGTCAGGAATGGCATCCGGCGTGAAACTTTTGCCAAGACGACCATGCGAGTTGGTAGGACGGTTTACAGGGGCGGATGGAAATTACTGACTCGCTGTGGCGACCCCTGAATAGGGACGTGCCGAAGGGAGAAGAAGAAGAAGACATGAATGACCTGACTCAATCGCAAACGCTCCCACCATTTTCTTGCCTGTACTCTTGGCAAGGGCGCAAATGTAAACAAACGGAAGTTTAGTGAAGCAGAAGCTCGTGGATTTCACTTCCTGTTTGAATGTTTCCATCCGTGAATTTAGTGCAAGCATGCTCAAGGAGACAATATACAGATGGGTACATTCCTGCAGAGATCTGTTCTTCCCACCATTGAAATAATCATCTCGAGACTAAAAGCTAGCATCTGAAGATTGTGTAAACAGGATAAAAAGCGAGAGGGAAGTACTTGTGTACTTCCGCTTTTGAACCGGCTCAGTCTGCATGTCGCGCTTCCCTGTGCACCTCATGACCAGGCAACTGATCTTTACCGATGAGGGGTTGTCTGCTGAGTTCACGGCATTGGCGGCGCCTCTCCGAAGGGGCGCTGACGACTCACCACAAAGGACGCCCGTCGGCTTCCCACCTGCGAACAGAGGACATGAAGCAGTGTGACACACTTCGCGGAGCAAGACACTTGTGACATGAGTAACAAGTATGTTGCGATCTTGATGCAAGCATTTAGGAGGAAACCGGGAGTACACTTTGCATAATTCACGCTCTCAGGAAGTTGACAGCTCACAATTACAGCATGGCTAATTCACACATGACACAATACGGTGCTTCACTCGCAATATCGTAGTTCATCGTTTGCGCCCTGCTAGATTATATATATTTTTTCATCCTTCCATGTGGAACATTTCATCCGTGAACGCTCTATTCTTTTTGTGTTAATTAAGGGGGGTGAAGAAGAGAAGAGTACCTGGCGGATTATTCCTTCGATTAGCGTAGGGGTCTTCCGGCTCGGCAAAAACACTGGAGGCCATCTTGTCTTTGCGGACGGGAGGTTTGTCCTCGTCTGCGCCGAATGAGATGTTGGAGGCGCCGCCGGGAGGACGCAAAACCCTGGGGGGGAAAGATGTTGTACCAGGTCAATTGGACGGCAGGGAATGTTTTCCTACCTTATAGCTATCGACAGGTTATGCACGTATGATATTGCATCGTAATGATATTGTTGAATATCGGGAAATAGTTAGAATAGGGTGCATATCACTTCTGAAAGCGACAGCCGCACTATTATACAACACTGCTCCTGCCAACATTTGTGCGAGGAATTAACAGAAGAGAGAGAAGTCATGCTAACCGGAACGCTATCATACGCTGCAGTCCCAAAACACCAGAATAAATGTTAGATACTGCCGTACACTTTTTACAGAAGTCGTACGGTTGTCTGAAAAGTGGAAATGAAGCAGTACGTTCGTGCACGTAGATGAAGGAAGAGGAGTCAAAATGTCAAAAATATATTAATATGTTGTAGAGCCCGTCTGATGTTTTTTTTTTTTTTTTTTTTTACACTGGGCAGAAAAAATAGCACATCATCTGTATTGTGATGCTATCTGTATTGCTATAAAAACACCACTATAACATTATATGTACGGTAAATTGCTTTGGTATTTCCACTCGTATTACTGCATTTACCCAAATAAAGGGCTGGGGGTGGTTACTCAATCAATAGCAAAGAGCACCTTTATTTGAAGGAGGCTTCTGTTTACAACTGCCTGAATGAGACAAGTGTGAAAGATTTGGCTAAATTACTGTCGTCACATACGATGTAGTTGATGTGAGCTGCACTGAAACACGTCTATCCAGGTGTGCACATGCTGCAAGGTTAGCTGTATATTTTGTCTGTCGTACGGCTGTCAAAACTCCAACTTTATGCGCTTTTTTCTTTAAAGAATTTTTAAATCTTTAAGAATTTCATGCAGGTATCCGAAGAGTGTAATAAAGCAAACAGTACCACCTTGTGGAAATATAAAGGGTAGTACAGTTAAAGAGTCAAACCATTTGTCATTAGGAGTGTCTATTTAGGGGATGGGGGTTGTTTGTTTTCCAAGTACAAGATCCAAACTGCAACAGCTTTCAGGAAAGGTTTGTTTGGTTACTTCTCAAACCATTGACACCTATGAAAACAACTTTCCAAGGAGCCACAACAGCGAGAAATCAGCGCATCTTCACCAGTTTTAAGGATTCATATTGTTAATATTCATCACATACCAATGACACTTACAACACTGAAATCGTCATTAAAATATGCGTCTGGCGTCGTTCCATGAATTATTAATCTTTGATTTTTTTTTTTTTTACACGCGCACCTAATACAATGTAATATATATCTATTCATGTCATTTGTATAAACAAGTAATAGATATTCAAAAACGAAATGGAATGAATGAACTGGTGGTTTAATTTGTCATAATGTTCGTTTCAGCTTCCAAATTGGACAGTATCCTCTTTGTTGCCTCTCGAGTGATGGGGAAGCCCACACGAGTGGCCCCACCCTACTGGAACACATCCCACGCACAGAATCAGGCAATTTCGCTATTTATGTTTGTTTGTTTCGGGTTTTCATGAGAACGGACACAACGGTAAATCGGTCGGACGGATGGATGAATGATGTCGTCGAAATATGCTGATCTATTTCATCAACGGCTAGCTGACTGCAAGGTGTACAAAGGGACATGTGCTTGCTATGTTAACAAAAAAACGGCTCGTTTAATGGGGCCTTAATATCAACAGCAGGGCTACGTTCATAATTTCCATGTAATTAAAAAATGCTGGCAAAGGGTTCAAAATAAGAGGCCGTTCAACTGATGCTGGTCTGACTGGTTAACCGCATAATGGTGGCTAACCTAGGGATGAACGTACGCAGATGTCTTTTTTTTTTTTTTTACCTGGAGCTGTTTTTAGCACCGGGCTCCATCCCTTGATATGTCGTCGTGGTCGTCATTTTCACAGTAGTCGGAATAAAAACAGGACGGAATGAATGTACGCGAGTTCAATGCGTTGTATTTCACCGCCTCATCTTCGTTCGTCCAAAGGGCTGCTTCTTCCACAACCTGCCTTCGATCTTCTCGTGTAGCGATGACAAGTTAGTGGACGAGACATGTCACTTCCGGTGTTACCTCGAAAATAAAAGTAGACGCATTGGTCATGAAACGGACCACTTCCGACGGACCACTTCCGACCATTACTTGTACACGCTCGTACAAAATCTTCTGTCAATTATGGCAAGTCATTTTGCAACATTTTTTTTACACTAGGCATCATTATAAGTGCTATATTAGCTAAGTATATGAAAACGTTTCACCTCTAGACTTTTTTTTGGGGGGGGGGGGTTAAGGTACATAGAATACAACATTTCTAGGACGTCGATGTTTTTAATATTCTTTGAATAATGTATATTTTTTAACTCTCTGGTTTTCATAGCTTGTTGGCGATTTATCAGCATATTTTAAGAGTTTTTTTTCCTCACTATTTGCAGTTTGGCCCACTCCCTATTGCCCACCGTTAACACCTTACACTACACTGTCTAGTGTTACTTCACCAGTTAATGAAACAATTGCTTTGAGCAAACGTTTTGTCAGTCCCAATTAATTCAAATAAAATAGCACAATTTAAAAAGGAATCTAGTTTTTAAGTCAGTGATGATGATGTGCCACATGTGAGCGTGCATGGTAGGCTGTCTCTGCAATTGTCTGGCGACCACTGTACTGCTCCCCTGTGACCTTGAACAGTCTATGCAGCATGGAAAATAGGATGGATGAGTGCTTTGAATTTGAATCATCCCATCCTTTATTTAATTTCGTACTACTTAAAAACAGGCACGCGCTAAAAACAAAAGGCTCAATTTATTCCAATACATTTTCATAACAGAAAGAATTTAAAATGCAGGGCTGGTTGATGAATAACAAAAGCTCCACCTGAAACCATCAATGATGGCGGTATAAAAACTAAGGAACTGTAAATCCGCCCACCCCACAACTGCTGAGAGAACAAACAAGTTGACATGAGTGAGTGACTGTGTGTAAAAAGCTACAACAACTGTGCGGCTGCTTGCTTGCGGCATGACGCGTTCCACTGGCCGATAGCATATATATGACGAAAAATGGGGCATAATGAAGATGCTCAAGGACATGGAAAGGGGAGGTAGAGATGTACACAGGAAACAGTCTTTAAGGAGAACATCCTCCGGTTTGCTGCTGGAACACGTCGATCGTATCTTCGTCTTCCATTTCCAGCTGAAAACAAATTTTGGACGTCAGATGAGAGGTTCAAGACCCGCACTCCAATCAGAATGGGTGGCAAATATTCATCCATCCATTTCTATAGTCTACCCTAGCTGACTTTGGGCGAGAGGCAGGGTACACCCTGGAATGGGCGCCTATCGATGACAGGGTGCATAAACATGAACAACCATTCATACTAATGTCCTTGGACATTTCATCAAGTCTTCAAAGAACCTCACAATCATGTTTCTGAATGTGAGATGGAGGAGGCAGGAGTACCAGTTCAGGAGAAAACCAAAACAGGAAGGCGTGAGACAGGAGGCAAACCAGTACCTCTCTGTGAGGCGGACACGTGAGCCACTCTTCCATCATGCTGCGCCAAAAGCTAATGTAGAAATGACTAACAATGCAAAACAGTACTACACCACGGAAAACGACAATCACTATCATACACACACTACTTAAATGAATAGCCCAAACTTAGCATTCATGTTGCGAAGACAGATTTCACAATGTTTGACAAATTTAGGCATAAAATAATCAGCAGGAAATATTTACAGAACTTTCACAATGTCACCGCAGCTCTTGACAGGACAAAGAACCATGTTTGGTTACTGAAGACAAAATGGATGCCACACACCTCCTTTATTAAGGAGTACAACCAGGTCATAGATATTAGGGCTCCTGTCACTGTCATTTTTTTTTTTAAAGAATTGATTATTTTATCAACGATGATCATAAACACACCAAATACTGAAAATTGGTACCGTTGAGTACTGGGATCAATTTCCAGATATCAGGAACCTGTACCTTATCGATTCAAACGTGAAAAGGTACTCATCCCCAGTTGCTTGTGTTTGTTGAAAAATATACATGTACGTCAAAACAGACCTTGAGAAAATTATTGTACATGAAATTGCAATATTGAATAAAAAATAAAATGAATCACATTTTCCAAAAACGTTAAGTCCTACTGGGGACCACTGTGTTGTGCTGGAATGCCAGCAATCAATATTTCTGTAGACTAAAAATGTCTGTGTGGATGGCATACATGGTGCCGGGAAAGACTTAGTTATGCGGTTGACTTTTTTCCCTCCCCAGCCCTAATAAATGTAAATATATATGGACATCGTTTTCATGCCCAACAAAGGATGAAAATATGGCCCGCTGCAGGGAAAAAAAAAAATCGTTATTGCACAACAGACTGTGACTCATCGTCCACACAGGATTTCCATGAGAAGGTTTGAATATTACAAATATTACAATTGTATGTAATGGTCTGAGGATGAATAAATGACTCATCTTGGTACGGATCCGTTCATGTTTGTAGCTTTAGAGCTACAAACATGCTCCCAAACTCTTATTTTAGGGGTTAATGTAAGTTTTCCACCGTGGGGCATCAATATTACTCAAAAATATAGATTCAGAGAGGAGAGTCAAGTTGTTCGTACCTGTGAGGGCGTGTCCGTTTCATTGATCGGCTGGCCATCAAACCGAAATCGTATCTGCCTCATTGATAATCCCTGTGGAAAAGGATAAAGAAATGATGGAACTATACGTAATTATAAAACTAATTCTTGACATGCTATTGTGATTTGGACAACAATTCCAATAAAACATGATACAACAATTGTATGATACTATTATCTCGCTCTCTCTCTAAACTGTATTTTTTTCAGAGACAAGAAACGGTAAAAAATAATACAGAGGCAAATGTAAAAGGTACAATGTCAGGTGTTTTTTTTTGGGGGGGGTGTTAGTGTCTGTTACATAATTTTAATGAAATTACGATAAAATTTATGCTTAATATTATTGTAAATAATTTGTGTACAGGTGCATCCTAACAAATTTCAATATAGTCAAAATGTAACTGCTATTCAAACAGTGAATGTCATTCAGCTGTTTTTTTTTGTTAGCCTTAAGCTGTAATCGTCAACATTATTCTAAAAAAAAAAAAAATCATGAAATCACAAAAATTTATTTGGGTTGTTTTTCATGGAACCCATTGAATTTCCAGCTCAATTTACTGAAGTGGAATGGAGTGGAAGTATACAATGCATTCGTAACTCATGGGCGCCACCTCGTGGACAGAGACAGAAACGAACAGAAGATTTTTTTTTTCTGGCAACACGATGGGACATCTTGGGACTAAACAGGATTGCGTTGCTTTGCCATTCTGTCAGTTTCTTGGAAACTGTTTTTGAAACTGATGCATTTTAAGAGAGGGGGGGCTCTTAATGACATGGCATGTCATTAAGAGGAAGTGATTTTTTTTTCACTACTCAAAATACATTCACACACAAACGACACAAACCTCAATTTGTTCATTTTATCTCAGCAGTATGTTTGAAATATTGGAAGCGGTGAAATCTGGTGATCGGCAAGTGAATTTTCATCGCTGGATCGTGAAATCAGCAATTTCCAGAACAAAATACAGACAATCCGCTCTGTAAGAAATTTGGCCAAAGTCTTTTACACTCTCTCTGATTGTTTTGCTTTTTTCAGCCAAATGATGGATAGTTTACTGATAGTGACATTGAGTAGAACAGTCGAAATGAAATACTGTATTTTCCGGAATACAAGTCGTTATTTTTTCCCCCACATGCTGTGGTTTTTAACGTGACGCTATTTATTTCTGAATTTTTACTGAAGCTGCAATAGATTTGCTCATTGTCTCGTCACATCTGACAAATGAAATTACCGAACACGTCACAGTGGACCATGTGAACCTGTCCTTATCTGCGCTCTTACTGAATATTCATTAGCTATTTGTGGTTGGAAAGTGCATGCATGAGGGAGGGGCGTTGTGATGCGGAAATTTATGTGCATAGTGGCACATGGCTGTATAAGGAGCCTATGAATGTGAATTTCTCCATTGTGAGACAAATCAAGGTTTTCTTATTCTTATTATTCTTAAGAGGGCAAAAATAATAAGTAATAATAATCCTTGAGTTGATGAGCATTGCGAACAACTGCCAGAAATACAACCATCTCTCCGGTGTAACGCCCATCTCTCCTATATTTGTTTGGCTACCAAATCCCGCCATCACAGGCACGGACGACAAGCGCTATCCCCGGGGGACAGCAACTCCATGAAGCTACTTCCAGTGCATAACAAACGGGTTTCCAAAGGCTGCATTGGTGTGTGCGATGAAGAAGGCTGTACAAAATCGTTGCCATGCATGTATGTGTGTGTGTGTGTGCATGCATGTGCGGCAATGGGTCGATCACGGAAGATTGGTTGCTTGAGTAGATCTTTGTTCAAAAAACAGTTCGGCACCCCTGCTCTAGACCTTTTATCTGCTCCTTGTAAATGGGATAATGAAGGACTAGAAGGACCTTAGAGCCATTAAGGTCATTGTATGAATGTCCCAATATCTATGGACAGGTGTGTACATGAAGTGTAAAGGCCAGTTGTATACTTAGCATTTGTTTATTTTTATCACTGCTGGTCTGTCAAAATATATCTTCACATGGAACTGGTCCTTGGTGCAAAAATGGTTGGGGACCGGACCGTTGATGTCAAGGGTTGGAAATACAGGTGATGTATCTCACCTGCCGTTCACAATACGCTTTCATCAGTTTGTTGAGTGGAGTGTGCCTCTTGATCTTGAACTGCACCACCGAACCGTCCTGTCCTGCCACCTTCAGGTTGATGTGCTCGTTGTTCTCCGTTTTCATTCCCTCCTAGCAGACACACACAAACAACGGAGTTAACAATGTGCCCCTACATGCGGCCCGCGGGACACAGGTTGGCCCCATCACCCTAAACTCTACACAGTATTAGGAAAGCAGTCATTGACCTATTCAAAACATGAATTCCGGCCTTCAGCGTGTTTAACGCTTAGAACACCCCCACTATAATAAGAGCAAGCTCCCGCGCGACGATTCAGGTCAGGGTTTAAATTACGGCAGTAATTCCGAATTCCGCTTCAAGCTTGCCATGCTAATTATGCCGCTATCTCGATTGTGCGTTTGCGCCGGCTCCTGCGGCTAAAAGGTTTTTGTCGAATTATTTGCTACGGCTCCGATGGTATTGTTTCGTCTGATCTCTGTGGTGATTAATGTAAACACAACGCGGGTATAAAGGGGTAAATTTGAGCCGTTTACCTTGGGCTTCTCATCTGCCATGGTTGCTGCGTTGTCTTGTCTGCCGCTCTGCAGCTTGTTTTCTTCGCTTGGGGGCTTCTCCCCTCCCACACCCCAAGTGACGGAACGTTAGCGCCACCTAACGTGCTGGGGACACAACATGGACCAATATTCCCCGAGGTGTCAATAACGAGATATATTTACTCTGTTACATTTACTTAAGTAACCTTTTTGCAATACACACTTTTACCCCCTTACAATGAGCAACATTCCCTACTCCTTATCTGCAACGTTCCTTTGGTGTTTTACGTGACAAAAATTATTGAAACTTTTGTGATAAATGTGCTGAATTTCTTGGGGCAATAATTTATTCACGATTTATTCTAAATCATTGGAAAATTTAGTTTTTACTGTGGTGTAGGTCTTTGAAAATTGGGAATAATAAAAAAAATCCGTTGAAATTGTTTTACTGATTGAGAGGCTGAATTTACCTCATAATTCAAAGTATATTTATTTTGTCATTTTCTTGTCTGTCTTTGATATTTATTGTAATTTGCCGTGTGGCTCTTAATATAGTTGTTCTTTTAATTACAAATAAAAAACAGGGAAAATGCAATTTGAATAATCAAACGGAGACAAGCAGTCACATAAACACACAGAAATTAAGGCAGGGTTCCCACTCCTCTTGAAATAATTTTCCACAATTATTTAATCTGTTACGGTGCGAGTCAAGTCATAACAACAATACAACATACACTAAAATGCAAATCGATTCTCATCATTCACCCCAAAAAGAGCCATTAAAAAATAACCTGTTTGTGAAGGTCACATCACTGATACTCACTTGAATGTTGGAAGTAAATCAACACGATGGGAAATGGCTGACAGACTAATGAGCTGCTGATGGGTTGGTAAGAGGCCAAAGTTCATGGTAGCCCCCACGGCAATGCCGCAGCCAGGTTGACTGGCCCAGGTAGCGTGATCTAAAAATTGCATGAAAAATCGAAGCGCTGGTCGCTGTGCACATGTACAGTATTTTAATAGAGCTCAATTTATATTAGTTTTTCCTCATTCACACATCATCTGCTTCTGCTGTCGCGCAATGTAGCAAATATAAAATGCTGAGTGAAACGTGGCCAAGTAAGACTACTGTTACTTGTCGTTACAGTAACGCTCTTGAACTGAAAGTCTCTATTTTGCTACTTCTCTGGGAGTAAATACATCATTATTTAGGTCGTTTCCAAAACATAATTGCTCCGTGGAGTAAAAAAAAAACAAAACAAAACAGGTCAATCACAGTATGTAGAATTCAAAACGCAGTTCGTTCAACCCCATCGGACCGTTGGGAGTTCTCTATTCCTCACTATAGAAAGCGTTGGGCGCATTCAAAAGGAACAGGGAGAAACCTGTTTTTGTCTCCCCAAAAAAAGACAAAAAAAACATAAGTTTGTATTACAAAGATTTTACTCACATTTGTCATAAACTGAAAAATAAATATTCTTAGAGTCATTTACAAATATCAATATCCCAGAAGGAAGCACGTTTCCCCACCAAAAAAACACTTGACTGTCATAAATATGTTATCTCTAAATATCCTTTTCACATAGGAAACCAAATACAGGCAAAGTAAACTTAGACCATTAACACAGTCAAAAAAGAGACTGACTGCTTTGTACCTTCGAAGAAAAAAAAAAGATCACCTAGTAATAAGCTGACTGTCTTCATGATGCAGGAAGTAGCGTTTCTTCTTGTGCATGGGGACCTTCACTAACATCTTTTGCGCAGTATGTCACAGTATTTACGCAAGTAAAAAACGTTGTAACCCTTACAGCCACCACGAATAAGAATAAATAGTGTGTATATCAATAAATAATTAAGTACAACACAAGTGGACGAATAAAAAGCAATTTTGTTTTTTGCAAGTCGGGCTCCTGCCTTCCTTGGCCAGAAGGAATGATTAATCACAGACTGATAAACAACAACAAAAAAAAAGTGTTCATCTTCACAAACAAATGTGGAGCTTTTTTTTTTTGTACCTTAACAAATCGTGCAAACATTTTGACTTGATGGAAAGTCAAACACTATATGAGAGCAATTAGACACAATGAATGATGTATGATTTGTGATCACAATGTGGGCTCGGTGCACTGTCGTGAATGTTAAACTTGAGCAAAGGCAAACACTGCATCAAGATGTCGATTCCGGCACACCTTCACCTCCAAGGTCCATTTGTTTACATAAAATGAGGTTTAAAACTTAGCAATGTTAGAAGTGCATGTTATATATAAGTATGGGAAATCGTACTGTTTTTAACCACAATTTGAACAGGAGATCTGTGTTGGGAAAAATAATTGTGTTTACATTTTAGTTCAGTACTCTTTAGGAGCACATTTTGTCATATCTTAAGTTGGATATGGGTCAGTTATTGCTACGGTGTTAATTTTAAGATACGTACATGTCAGAAATGCAGGACCCTTTAAGTACCAGTATGTTGGATAAAACTCAGAAACTAGGTCAGCTGTGATTGGTCATCATCAATCAACACCAAGTGGCAAAATGGGCACCCCCTGAGCAGAAATGAGAAATGCAGCATTTGTGAGTGTGGCATATTCCCGACAACTGTTCCTTTCTCATGGCCTGCACTGGTAAATCCATTTTTTAAAAATAATCCAGAAGGGGGTGTGATGTGGAGTCACAGCCCCCGTCCCAATCTGTCAGGAAGTGGAAATTCGTTCACTTCCCCGACGTCTGTGTAGGGCTGCTCATCCAGCGTGAATGTCAGCTTGTACCTCATCCGAACCTTTTCCTGCCAATCATGTACACACAAACACACGGGTGTGTACAAGCGCAAAACACAAATCTTATATTAATGAGCAAAACAAATGTATGAAGCTGGAGGGGAAAAAACAGCCTAGGGCTAAACACTACCTTGTGAGGATTGGCAAGCAGCACGACCTGAGTGATGACAGCGGGAGGCAGGATGGGGTTGAAAGGAGCTAGATGTGTCCCAGAAGGCGGCTGCAATTTCACTTTCATGGTCTAGACGGGAGCTCACACACACACACACACACACACACACACACACACACACACACACACACACACACACACACACACAACGGATCCACGCACAACCAGAGTAAACAGGCAGCTGCACTCATATTTACCCAAATTGATCAATGCACGGTTTTGAATGATGCTGCCAGAGCGATGCTGCTATTAAGTGATGTATTGTTCCGATGACAGTGTTGATTTATCTTCCCCAAACTACAGCCAAATTTTTGTGGGTTTGTTTATAACTTGATTTTTCAATCTCTTGAACTTCAGAAGAAAAACAATAATAGACATTAAAAAAATAAATAAAAATCAATTGATTTGTCCTGCTACTTTTTTTTTAAGTATTCCATTTTTCTCATTTATAAAGTCACTCACAATCGGCCGCAGCATGCATTTTGACCACTTGCAAAAAATAACGAGTGCCACAGAGCCATATTACATAGTCCGTCTTTACTAAGGTTCTAGTGCTCTTTTCTGATTGAACTCTTTGGGAGGAATTTATTTCTCTCAAGGACATTGACTCGCCTCGTGTATGAAATATGCTCTTTAAATAAAGCTGCCTTCCCTTGGCTTCACAATATGTCTTTTCATTGAGGTTGTAATTTGCGATGGTATCATGCTGAGAGCTGTTCAGCATATTTTTGACTCATGTAGAATAAAATAGAACTTGAATGTCATTGTTACGTTAAAAATGAAAACTAGCCGGGCATCCCCTCACACTTAGCTGTTTTGCAGGTTAAAAAAATAGAAATATAAGATCTAAAAAAAAAACTGTTAAAAAATACAATTATTTACAGAATGCACAAGTGTTCACAAGTTTGGAAAAATACATTTCATGGTCTTTTGTTTTTTTTGTTTTTTTTAATATTGATGAATGGAAAAAAGTGGTCACTCTTTCATCCAGGGCATGAGTCATGCACAGACATTTTTTGCTATATTTTGACATTCTAAAAAAGGCATGGAAAATATGAGATAGTTTTTGGTATGGCGATGTTTTACAACTCATCACAGGGTAAAACCAGAGCATATATTAGCTTTTTAGACAGAATCCCAAAGTAGTGGAACACAGTGTGCAGCTGTCCAACATCAATTCAATTAAAGAGGTTTTACCTTGGGAACAGCAGCCTGCAGTACTATGTCCTTCACAGGAAGCGGGGATGTATTCAGCATGGAGGCCACAATTACCAACACGTCAGACCTGCCGGGTGGACAGTCACTGGCGAAATGCAGAAGTAGTCGAACGCCACCTCTGTCGTATGCTGTGACCGGACATATCTTACCTAAAACAAGGCAGATCAACTTTAGTTGAAAACGAGTTCATTCATTTACTTGTATTAACTTTGTACACCGAATATTCCGCATGCTGCAGATGACATCCCAATAATTCATGTCATTTTTGTCTCAAGTTGGCAGAATGTACGCCTTCTGTGGCCACCTGTTGCCATTCATACAACAGAGTAAATCATTGCATGCACACACTGAGTAAATGCATTTATAAGTCAACTGAGACAAAATTATTTCAGTTACAGTACTACCTGTGAGATTTTCCAATGTCCCTTGTTTCAATTAAGGTTGAGAAACATTCCCGTAGATTAAATGATGTGTTCCACACACCCACTAATACAGACGCCAGGCTACACGAATGTAGCCCAATTTTGAACCGACAGACGTGTCGCGGGCAAACGTAGTGCTTCGTAACCGATTTTGACTTGTCTTTGACGCGTCGTAGCCCATCAAGTGTGACGTACTCAATACCACCACGACGACGAACGTCCGGCATGTAAGAGGTTGTTCGTCTTGCCGCATAGTGCGACATGTCCGACGTCGCCCTTCGATTGTTTTATTTGGAGAATAGACAATCTACACAGTCCTTTCTCCAGCATCCAGGAAAGAGTTCAAACGCTCTTTTTTTTTTCTTGTTCTTTTTTTTTAGCCTTTTCTGAGCATAGAAACAACACACATGCACAAAATGGCCCCGGGGGTCTGTATGGTGACAGACTTGTAGTGTGAAAATCCCACCGAGTCCAAGACACAGAACGATATTTATCTGGTAGTCTGACAGCGCGACCGTCGTGAACGACAAAAAAGTCGCGTAGTTTGACACAAAACTTAACACAAACAAACTTACTCACTTGGTTTGACAGCATGTAAAGGGACAAAGAGATCAGCGAGAGACGTCTCATCTAGCCCGTTTAAAGAGGTCTGATTATTGTTGGATAGACTTCGAGCCGGGGGGCAGCCAAGTGTGACTGGAACGGCTTCTTGGTGCAGGAGATTGGCAGGAGAACACAAACTGCCATGCTTGGCTTTCGTGTTGTCAAAGTGCACCCCGGGGATGCTGTGGGCAGAATCACATAGACCATCAGATGAATACTGCTCTGGCAGCACAGATAACCATTCAAAGAGGCGACAAAAGTGTCGTCATAATTAATCATTTATGCTCCACTTAACTCATTAAATGCCCAGAACAATTCAGGACAGCTTCTAAACATTCAGGGCCAAAAATGAGTTTTCTCATTTTATTTTCCCCGTTTTTTTTCTACATGCTCAAGGAGTGCCAATTACGCAAAATTCCCAGTCGATGGTAGGAGCGCACCATTTTAGATTTAAAATAACCTCTGTTTCCCAAATGTTTACAGTGGGGAGGTAGGACTTAATTCTCATGGTGGCGCACGGTGGCCCTGCCCTCAAGGATGTGACTTGCAGTCGGATAATCTGAAGCATATATTCAAACAGGCAACATGTATTTATAGAATTCACAGACTATGTGTCATGATAGCAGAAGTATCTGTGTGCACAGTACAACAACGTTCTTGGAAATATGACTAGGATGACTAGGGTGTGTGTGTGTGTGTGTGTGTGTGTGTGTGTGTGTGTGTGCGCGCGCGCGCGTGTGTGTGTGTGTGTACAGTTCCAAAATCTGGCATGGGGCCTGTGCAAATGAGGCCAACGGGGAGAGTGAGTGAGCTTCTGCTTGCTGACATTTGAAAAAAGATCAATGTCATCATCAAGGATATAAGTCAACTCGACTTGCATCACTATAATGTCGAGGACACAAAAATCCGGAGTCGTTCAACCCCTGGTTAAAATACCCCCTGCTACTCACCTTTTATTACCGCCTAAATCAAGCAGGGCTAGGTTTTGCTGACTTTGATCCAGTAAAGACGGCGCCAATGGGGAAAGCTGTGCATCGGCAAAGGACTGTGGGAAGGTAACCGCGGTGGCTGACCATGGCGAATCCACTGGGACCGATGCGCTCTGGACTGGACCGATTCGTGTCTGGAGAGTGGACGAGGACGAGAGTGGGGTGGCTAACCCCAAGGCGAGGTTTGACATGGGGTCTGCGGGTCTAATTTTTGCGGTGGTGTCCAAAAGATCCATGTCCTGATTATAATTCTGAATTAAGAAAGGAAACAATGAGACATACTGGCAAAATATTAGGACAGATCGTTAAATGTGTTCAATGTACCTGGAAGGGCTGTAGGGATTTGTTTATACTGGTGGGTAGAACGGATTCAGTGGCAACAGTTCCGGGAGAGTCTGTGAAGAACATACGTGTTAAAATAAATAAATAAATACATAAATAAATCAGTCAATTCGATCTGAAGCAGTGAGTAGTTTCTTGTCGGCAGGCGGGGGTTAGCGAAGATAACCAAAAGTCAGCTCTGCCACGTCAATCTTTCATCTCAGCAAAGCCAGCGGATTTTAAATTAACAAGATTCTTGAGGTTTTGGGAGACCCTTATCAGAGGGCAACAGAATTTAAAAATCACCGGCCACACCATGAGGTATGCCTGCACATTTGATCAGCGCTCAATTTTGACCTGACAAAATGAGAGATTCATTGACTAATTCAACAATACATGAATTATTAGGGTCGTCATTATAGGAAGGTATGCCATTGAAAGCGGTTACTAATATGTACAAAAGTTCGACGTGACGCCCATCCCACCCCCCTCAAAAAATATGAAAAAGTCAGTGCGCGCGCAACGTGTTGAGTGGAATAATGTATATGCCCATGGCCACATACTGAAATTTTATCTTATTCATCTATTTTCTATTGCGGGAGCACTAGAGCCTATCCTCCGTGATTTTGGGTGCACGCGCACACACAGACACAGACACAGACACACACACACAGACACACACAGACACACACACACACACACACACACACACACACACACACACACACACACACACACACACGAACTACTACTGTGATGCCCTTTCTTTCATTCAATTTTATTCTGTTGAAATTTGATTGTCCCAACGTGTGTTTTCATCAATTCAGTAAGGTCCTTGGAGGACTTCATTAAAACATGGATTTCACAAAAACTGCTGAAACATTTTGATCAAATACCAACGCACATGATTCTCATGGAGGAGCACGCAGAATATTTCTGTTTTCTCGGGCAGAGGGCTCATATTTTTCTTGTCACTCACTGACAGCAGTATGAGTCAATTGCCTCCCTCTGGCATTGAACACTGACAAACGTTGAGGTGAATGTTACCTAAAGTCAGCAGCTCTTCATCCAGGAGAGAAAACGATGCGGGCACCTTGTCAGAGCTCGCAGGGGATGGTACAGCAACAGCGGTTCCGCATAGAAGATCAACATGAGAAATCACATTCGATGTCGAATCTTTCTCTCTTAGTTGGGAGAAAGCTGAGATGTCCATCAGGTTACAGGTTATTATTATTTGTGCATGAAAGGGTTAAATAAACAAATTGCGATCACCGGAAAACGAACGTTTTTTTCCAGGTTCTGTGTAGAAACTACTATATACATAGAAGATCAACATGAGAAATCACATTCGATGTCGAATCTTTCTCTCTTAGTTGGGAGAAAGCTGAGATGTCCACGTCTGTTGTCAAATCAATCAGACTCTCTGTTCGGAGTGTGCGGCTGGTGCCTATTGCGAGGAGAAAAAGTAGCGTAGGCTAATATTATCAGAAGGTCAGTTCACATCTAAAAACTCAAAAGTAATATCACAGCGCATATTAGTATTTTCTTGATTTTATCACCAGTGGCATTTGCATCGCACGCGGCATCTTTTGCCTGACCTCTGGCAGCAATTATGTGGAGAGTGTGGCATGTTGTTCGAGCTACAGAATTATCTTTTCATGTTATAAGCCCGAGTGAACAGTAATGGACTACAGAAAAATTAGGATCTATTGCGCATCTTTTCTACAAATCTAAAATGTATATCATAGTCGTCTGTTGTCAAATCAATCAGACTCTCTGTTCGGGGTGTGCAGCTGGTGCCTATTGCGAGGAGAAAAAGTAGTGTAGGCTAATATTATCAGAAGGTCGGTTCACATATAAAAAGTCAAAAGTAATATCATAGCGCATATTAGTATTTTCTTGATTTTATCACCAGTGGCATTTGCATCGCACATGGCATCTTTTGTCTGACCTCTGGCAGCAATTATGTGGAAAGTGCGGCATGTTGTTCGAGCTACAGAATTATCTTTCCATGTTATAAGCCCGAGTGATCAGCAATGGACTCCAGCAAAATTAGGGTCTATTGCGCATCTTTTCTACAAATCTAAAATGTACATCATAGTTGGATGTCACTCTCCCCCTTGATATTGTAAATGTGGTTAAGTGTTGTTGTAAAACACAAGGGACAAGGATCCGTCTGAAGACCCAGCCTATGAATTTGGACATAGCTATAGACAAGCAACTGAAGTGTGTAAGCGAACCCACTAATTTTACAAGACTGATAAAATTCTCAATAGCAGAAAAGGTATGCACATTAATATTATTACCTGTACCTCGTTTGACTGCTGATGGTGTTTTAGTCACTCCATTTATGGATTGGCTTTCCACAATTTCCTTGCAAGAATTAATTATACTGGTGAGGTCATCGTTGGCCTGCAAGATGTCACCTGGTTTAGATGAGAGTGGAAAGATTGGCGTGAACTTTATGTCACTGTTAAATCCCAACACACACACAAAAATAATTATGAACACTAGAAAGTGAACATTGCAGTTGAGATCCGCCACCGCGATATTGCGCACTTAGAATATCAGGCTAGGCTCAATTCCATGTCAAGGGAACAGACGTTGTGGCTCCGACGGCTCCCATTGGCTGGATTTTCCACCAGGACACCG